GAGACCATGGAGAGCTACGAGTTCGAAGCGGAAGGCAAGACGCAAAAGGGTGAGTAGCGGAGCAGCGTCTGATCGACATGAAGCGCAGGCCGAAGCGCATTGGTACACCTTTCTGAAATGCTGCCTGCATCCGCGCTCATAGTCAAAGTCGTGAAGAACCTCAATGGTCACAACATCGACAGGTACAAGATCCACGGCGGCAAGTCTGTGCCGTGCATTCCCATGCCCGAGATGAAGGACCGCATGGAGGAGGGAGAATACTTTGCGATTGAGACTTTCGGCAGCACAGGCAAGGGCTACGTCGAGAATACCGGGGATTGCTCTCACTACGCCAGAAAGAACGTTGGCAGACACGTCCCCCTGAGAGTTGCCTCTGCTAGGAGCTTGCTGCACACCATCGACAAGAACTTTGGAACGCTGCCCTTCTGTAGAAGGTATCTCGACCGACTCGGCGAAAAGTCATATTTGCTGGGCGTGAGTGATGATGATGATGATGGGTGCGATACTGCAGAAAGGACGACGGCTAATGTGCAGGTTCTTGACATCGGTGCTCATCTTTGCAGCTCAAGCATCTCGTTCAGATGGGCGTCGTCGAGGTGAGTGGCACGTTTTACGAGCTGTGTGTGCACGCTTCGCTGACGCCGTGTCTTGATCTTGCTTTCGGTCCTCAGGATTACCCGCCTCTTGCCGATATTCCCGGCTCCAAAACGGCTCAATTTGAGCATACGTTCCGCGTTGGCTACGGCTATAAGGAAGTGCTGAGCCGAGGAGACGACTACTGAGTCGTCTCCTCCTCAAGTCAAATGAGCGGTGATGGTAGGAGTGTAGGCAGGGGACTGAGTGGCTAGTGGAGAAGAAGGAAGCTTTATGAGAGACATTGGGGGAGTGCAGACCTCCTTTCGTCTACGTCTCGGATGGGGACTCAAAGTTGAGGGCAATGGTGTGCCCTAGGCTCCATACGCAGATCGTTTCGCCTCGTGACGTGAGATTCTTGAAGCGGTGTAGGCGTGCTTGCTAGCTTTTCTGAGCTGGATTACTTTATCTATGTTCTTTCCTAGGTCAGCCAAGCTAGCTAGCGCAACTAACACCACTTTTGAGCAGCTCACGAGACAGCACAAGCGCGTTTCTTTTCGTCGTATCGAGGACAATGTCATCTGCATGTTTCGGGAAAAAAAAAGAAAGAAAAAAAAATCAAAAACAAACAACAAATGTCTGTACAAGTTGCGTGTGCTCGGAAAGGTGGTGGTGGCGGCGGTGGCTCTCAGATAGCGTAGCTACAGCCGTAGCGCGGGGTATGGACCAGATCAACCCAGTGCGGATTTGGCTGGTGCACCTATTTGTGGTCTCGATGATTACGATCACAACACTTGGCATGGTCTCACTCACAGTCCAGTTGCATGCCTAACTCGGTCTAGGCTTCTCGGGTGCTCTGAACTCGGGCAAGAGGAAGCCAGCCGGCTCGCCTGGCTTCGATCCAGTTGTGACTCTCGTGAGTGAGTGAGTGACTACTGACCCTCGCGTCCTACGGGTCGCACATATGCAATCTTCGAGAACCTTCCGCCACCATCGTGCCGGCGAGTACATGCTGGATGTGTGTGCATGTATACTCACGACTGTAGGTACTGTACATCACGAGCGACGCGCACGCGAATGATATGCCGCGGCCTGCGCGTCTGAGCTGAGCGCGCGCGGGTAAATGTAGGAATCGGTTCCAATGAAGCCTCTTCCATCACCGTGGGGCACATTCACTTCCATTCTACGGTACATTCCGTGATTGCTTGATTCGCGAGCACGACTTTGATCAATCGTGCATCAAGCACCCACCAGCTTAATTCTCGAGTCGGAGCAATCACATCGAGCATTCGAGCCGCCTACAGGAAGGAGAGCGAGCGGTGATGCGTGTGCATTGAAGCGCAACGTGGAACACGAACGGCGGGCGGCCACGCCCAATCGGATGGCCGTTCAACATCAACTCGAACGACCTATAGCTAGCTGCAGCCCAGCAGGCGAGCGCGCGGAGCGTCACGAGGATGCGACCGCTCAACGGACGTGTCTCATCGCGGGGTAGAGTCACAGTGTGACTGCACCTTTACGTTCAACGTCGAGCTGCAGCTGCCTCAATCAGGTAATCGCAGGCACGGCCTTCTGCTGATCAAGCCGCGAGCACAGCCAACAGACTTGTCCCTCGCATTCGTCTTGTAACCTCTACGTTGCAGTTCGACAATACATTGAGTTGCAGCATAGGTTTTGCCGAGCGGCTGTGCTCCATACGGTGACATCCAACTTGCGAATTCTCCATCGCCCGGTCAACGGTACTTGACGTAGGACGTGCCTGCCCGTCTGCCTGCTTTACGTATCTGCTTGACCTGGCACTTGAAACTCGACTCTTCTG